TAGCTCAGCGGCAAAAGCACCTGCCTGGCAAGTGCAAGGTCGTGAGTTCGGTTCCCGGTACCGGAGAAAAACCAAAAAAAAAAAAAAAAAAAAAATTACTCCATGCCACATAATAAATAAATACCAGAAATACAAAACAGGAATAGAAGTTTAGAGCCTGCTAGAGAAAAGCAATGAATCCCCTATGAAGGAAAACCTTTAAGAATTACAACAAATTACTCAACACAAACATTAAAAGAAAACAGAGAATGGAATGAAGTGTTTAAAGTTCTAAAAGAAAACAACCTCCAACCTTGACTGTTATATCCTGCAAAATTATCTTTTAAAATTGATAGAGAAATAAGATACTTCCATGATAAAGAAAACCTAAGGAAATTCATGACCACCAAACACTTCAAAAACTTCTCAACGATGTCCTAGAAGGAGAGAAGGAAGCAATTTCAAAATGTCCAGTAAAATGCACCTTTAATTACTATCTGACATCGTAATTAAGTCAAAGGGAAAACTTTTTACATGCAGCTTTTTTTCCTTTTGCTTTAGCTAGCCAAAAAAATGGTTAGCTGTTTAAATATACAAAGACTTAATTATATAATTTCTTTTGGTATAAGTTTAGAAATTAAGTTACCATGCTTCTAAGTGCACAAAAGTGCCATCTATAGATTATGAATCAAGTATATGAACACTTGGGATTCATTTTTATTCTTCCAAGATCATATGGAATCTTTAGTCCAAGTAATGACTCTGAGTAAACTTGGGTCACAAGCATTAAAATCATATAGATAAGATTATGGGTAGTTCATAGGAAAGAGGGATAGGAACCCACAGATCCTGACAATGGGTCAGAGTAGATTCAAACCCTTGATCTACTTACCATTGTTGAGTGAATTAAATCTTCCCAGAAAATCACCACTGCCTATTCATTTTATCTTTAAAAAAATTTTCAAACCCATTTCCTCTGTTCTCATATTCATTTTAAAAATTCAGGACCTCACCACTATTCCTCTGGTAGAACTATTTACTCAAATCTTTAACTTTCTCTATGCCTGGTCCATTGACTATAATTTTTTTTGATCAAAATGAACAACATTAAAGTAGACACAGATAAAAAAGATAGAGGAACTTAGGAAAACAATTAAAACTATGAATGCTATGATCTAAACAGAAATCCAGGAGATTAAAAACTCTATTGAAAGTATACACAACAGATTGAATGAAAGTGAGGATAGAATATCAGATCCAGAAGACAGGACTAGTGACCAGGAAAACAAAGATAGCTTAAAAATAGCAAGAGACCATGAAAAATCAATTGAACAGCTACAAGAGGAAACAAAGAACAACAAAACATTGAAGTCAGTGAGAAAGCTGAAGACAGCACAAAAGCCATTAAAAACTTCTTCACAGAAATAATGGCAGAAAATTTGTCAAACATGGATAAACAATTTGACATATAAATTAATGAAGCTATAGAACCCCAAGTACCCATGACCAAAATAAACCAAAGCAAATAATAATCGAGTGCAGAAATTCAGCACAAGAACAATACATTAAAAGCAGCTAGAGAAAAGAAAGAAATCACTTATAAAGGAAAGCTCACTACAATTACAGCCGACTTGTCCACAAAAACCCTCAAATAAGGAGTGACTGGAGTAAGGTGTTTCAATCCCTAAAAGAAAACAATCTTAAATACACACTGATGTACCCTGCAAAACTATCCTTCAAAATCAATGGGGACACAAGATACCCCTGTGACAAAGAACAACAGAAGAAATTCATGACCACCAAACCAACCCTACAAAGAATACTGAAAGATATTCTAGAAAGAGATAAAAATGACCACAATTCCAAGAACAACAGAAAGAAACCACTAGGCAGGGCAAGCAGTTAAACAGAGGGGAAAAGTAGGGAACCAACAGCAGGAAAATAACATGACACAGATAAGCCAATACATATTACTTATAACCATCAATGTAAATGGTCTCAATTCACCCATCAAAAGAAACAGACTGGTAGAGTGGATCAAGAAACAAGATCCAACAATATGCTGCATTCAAGAAACACATTTAACCCAAAAAGAAATTCACAGAGTAAAAGTCAAAGAATGGAAAACAATATTCCATGCTACAGGAACCAGAAAAAATCAGGGATAGCTATTCTATTTGCAGACAATTAAACTTTAAGCCAAAACTGATTAAAAAGGACAAACAACACCACTACATATTGCCATTACATACTGCTAAGGGAAAACTCCAAGAGAAGGATAAGAATCATAAATATATATACACCAAATACTGGTGCACCAAATTACATAAAACAAATATTAACAGACATGAAAAATCAAATAAGCAATAACACAAACAGAATACAACAAATCACCAAGAAGATTATACACTATAACCAAGTAGGATTCATCCCATGGATGCAGAGATGGTTCAACATACATTATCAACAAATGTAGTACACCATATTAATCAAACCAAAGACAAAAAACACAGATCATCTCAATAGATGCAGAAAAACACATGTGATAAAGTCCAACACCCATTCATGATAAAAAAGAAATCCTACAGAAAATTGGAAAGATGGTCTTTACCTCCATCTGATAAAAGCCATCTATGACAAAGCAATAGTTAACATCATACCAAGTGGTCAGAAATTGACAGGTCTCATTCTATAATCAGGAACAAAACAAGGATGTCCATTATCACCACTCCTATTCAATATATTCTGGAAATATTAGCCAGACCAATTGGATAAGATAAAGAAATAAAAGTACAAGGACAGGAGAGGCAGAAGTTAAGTGGCCATTATTTGCAGATGACATGAAACTCTACATGGAAGACCCAAAAAAATCCACCAACAAACTTCTACATCTAATAACCAAATTCAGCAGCATAGCTAGATAGGAAGTCAACACTCAAAGATCAACAGAATTCCTATACACAAGCAATAAACTCACAGAGAGAAATTAAGGAAACAATACCATTTACAATAGCATGCAAAAAATGAAATACTTAGCAATCAATCTAACAAAGTAAATAAAAGTTCTATATATTGAAAAGTAGAGTACTCTGAAAAAGGCTATCAAAGAAGGTATCAGCAAATGGATAGGAAGAACCAACGTAGTAAAAATGACCATACTCCCAAAATTGTTATACAGATTTAATGCAATCCCAATTAAATGACATTAGCATACCTCACAGAACTAGAGAAAACATTCCTAAAATTCATTTGTGTTATGGTTTGTGTCTAGATGTCCTCCCAAAGCCTCATGCAGTCATGGGGCAGTCTTCTAGAATTTTTTGATTGATTCATGGTCCAATGCTGGGATTATGGGTGTGAGTGCTACACCCACCCTGAGGCAAGTAGCCTGCATACAATATAAGGGAGTGAAAAAGACTTGCTGATGCTCCTCCCTTTTTGGCTTTTGTTGCTTTTACTGTTTTCTGCTGCCAAGAACTGTTGCCCTCTGCCATGTGCCACTCTACCTTGGAGTCCCCTGAGTATGGACTGAAACTTCCACAAACTATGAGTTAAATAAACCATTCCTTCCTCAGTTCGGGAATCAGGAATTTTGTCTCAGCAATGAGAGAAAAGTAACCAAGATAATTTGGAACCAGAAGAGACCTCTAATAGCAAAAGCAATTATGGGCAAGATAGGCAAGTCAGGGGGCATCACATTCCCTGACTTGAAGTTATACTACAAACTTATTATGATAGAATCAGCATGGTACTGGCAAAAAAATAGACCTGAGCATCAGTGGAACAGAATAGGAAATGCAAATGCATCTCCAAACACACTCAGCCACCTTATCTTTGACAAAGGGGCCAAATATGTTCACTGGAAGAAAGATTATCTCTTTAATAAATGGTGCTGAAGAAACTAGCTTTCCACATGCCAAAGACTAAAACTAGACCCATGCCTATCACCATGCCCTAAACTAACATCAAAATGGATCCAGGATCTAAATATTAAAGCAGAAACATTAAACCTACTGGAAGAGAAAATAGGTAGAAATATCAAAGACATAGGTTAAGGTAGAGACTTCATGAACAAAACCCAGACCCCAGGGAAAATACTACAAAGAATCAACAAATGGGATCTCACCTTACCTAAAAGCTTTTGCACAACAAAATAAATCACCAACAGTGTAAAACGGAAACCCTCAAATTGGGAAAAAATTATAGCCCGTTGTCCCTCAGACAAAGGACTTCTATCTAGAACATATGAAGAATTGAAAAACATCAGGGCCCCCAAATTCAAAGACTCCATCCAAAAATGGGCATCTGGGATGAACACACACTTCTCAAATGAAGAAATACAAATGGCAAATAAATATATGAAAAAGTGTTCAATATCATTGGTCATCTGAGAAATCCAAATTAAAATAACACTGAGATTCCATTCCACTTCAGAAAGAATGGCTAATATCAATAAATCAACCAATAACAAATGCTGGTGGGGCTGTGGGAAAAAAGGAACATTTCTTCACTATTGTTGGAACTGTAGACTCTTCCAACCATTGTTGGAAATCAGTGTGGCGATTCCTCAATAAACTAGGATTACAGTTCCCATTCGACCTACCTATTCTCCTTCTGGGTATATTTCCAGAAGACTTAAAAACATCATACCACAGAGATATATGTGCACCCCTGTCTATAGCAGCACAATTTGTAATAGCTAAATCTTGGAAACAATCAAAATGCCCATCAACAACAGAATAGATAAAAAAGATGTGTTTTTTTTTATATATAATGGGGGATTACTCAGCCATAAAGAAGGATAAACTTAAGACTTTCACAGGTAAATGGATGCAAATGAAGACCATACTCATAAGTGAAGTAAATCAGACCTACATGTGTAAATACCATATAGTCTCATCAGTGTGAGAGGCTGAGTAAGTAAATAGGACTCAAAATGTACAACAGATATTATAAATTGGGAAGAAATTGTTCAAAAGATAAGAGTAACTGTGATGGGGGAAATGGGAAAGGAATGAAGGGAAAAGGAAAAAAATATATATACATACATCAACAAAGATAGTTAAGATAGTTACACTGCTAGTTTCTCTCAGTTCATTGAAAAGTTTGTGCTAATACTGTTTGGTCAGTATTTTGTACCCTAAGTAATTACTCTGAGGATAATATACAATGTATTAATTATTGTCATTCTCCTATTATCTTCTTTTGAAGTTCTTTTTTTTAAGTTAAAAGAAATGGAAATCAGAAACCAGAAAAGCAGTTCCTTAGCATTAAGAATTTACTCTCTAGAGATGTCATGTTCTGTTACAAAACTGTGATGTACAAAGGATAACACTGAGTCCATACAATGTATGGTCATTGATATTACCTCAACAGACAAGAAAATGCAGAATTTATAACGATAAGAAACATAGGCTACTCTCAGGTGATTTGGAGTAGTTTTCAGAAAATCCACTTATCAACCAACCAAATGATGCCTGGTAAACACTGCTGCAGGCTAAAGAGCTCTCCGTGACTACAATGCCTTTCTGGTAGGTTAATATTTTAAATATTCCATTTAATAAATGACAACTGTACTTATGCAGAAAAAAGTAATCTCATTTTCCTCTCAGACCTTTGAATTAAACAACTTCCACTGTGATACTGTGGGTAGAGGATGACAGTAAATGTAGAATGACATAGGTTGGAGTCTCTGTTCTGCCACAGACATTTAAGAATCACATAATTTTTAAACCTTTTTTCTTATGCAGCAAACAGAAGTAACATTTATGCCACAGTGCTGTTAAAAGGTCTGAGAGAGAGCTGGCTCTAGAGCTCTGTGGTGCAGCAATTGCCCAGCAAGGTCCTGGATTCAATTTCCAGCACAGGGTGAGGATGGGGATCAGAGAGACTGTGCGTATGCAGAAGGAAAGAAATACTTAGGAGAAATACTCAGATACAAATGTTCCACGCGCCTTGCAAAATTAGAGAAAACTTTAAAAAAATTACATAAAACTGCCAAGAAGTTGTATTTTACCCAAAAGACCCCACCAAAACTGCCAGGAAGGGTGTGGGTCGTTTGAAAGCTCCATGCGAGTGGGCGTTAGGTTGAGGGATCTCCCTTCCGAAACAAATGTTCATTAAAAGCCACTTAACAACCTCAGTGGAAGGAAATCAAAGACTTGCTATCAGGCCGTAGAGCGGAGGGCTGCGAGCCCGGGGAGACATCTGCGCAGTCGGAAGGCGCGGGGTCACTGCTAAGCTTGGCAGTCCACATCTCTTCTGCCCTGCGAGCGCTCAGGGATTTCCACGCGCGGCTCCACGATTCCCGCAGCCGCGCCGCCCCGTCAGAGACCCGAGCGGGCCGCGTCTGTGGGATCAAGGAGCTCGCTACTGCTCGCGCTTGTGTCCACACGTTTAAAAACACAAAAACCAAACAAAAAGACTTCCAACTTTCAAAGGAGAGGCAACGTGGAAGAGAAGGTGCAGGAGGAAGAGGAGGAAAAAGAGAAGAAAGGCGAAGAAGAAAACCGAGCGGGCGCGGCAGGCGTCCCCGCACGCGCGACCCCGGCCGGTGGCGGGCTCGGCTCGGTCTCCACAGCCACGCGCAAGGGTTCGCCCGCCAGCCCGGCCGCTCCTCCCGCCGCCGCCCCGGGGTTTGTAAACACGCTCCATGTGCGCTCGCCTTCCTTCTCAGCAGCCCGCCGCGGCGCGAGCTTTATTCCCACTCGGAGAGGAGGAACCTGGTCCGCGGAGCCCGGCGGCCGTGAGGAACGCCAACGCACGAGCGCGCCTGCAGCGCCCGCTGCCGGCCATGGAAAAGCCCCGCATCCCAAAGCCGCTCAGCCCGGAGCCCCGCCCACGCGCCTCGCAAGCCCCGCCCCAGCCCTCTCGTAGCCCCGCCTCCGCCGCGCGCGCAGCCCCGCCCTCTCGCCGGCCCAACGCGCCTGCGGGGGCGCGCGCGTGCTCGCTAATCCCCCGCCTTCCGGCTCCGGCGCGACGCGCGCCCGTCGCTACCGCCGCCGCGCCACCAGTGTCAGCGTCCCTCGGGAGCCTCCATTTGCTCTCGGTGCGGTCTGGCCGCCGAGCTGCCGGACGGGGAGCGATGCCCGCGGCCGGCGGGGCCGCGTCCTCTGAGCCCAGCAGCCGCTCGCTGGCTGTCCGACTGCGGCGGTGACACCCGGGTCGCCGGCGTCCAGGCGGAACCCGGGCTCCATCGCCGGAGGAAAAGCAGCCCGCGCTCCGCAGCTCGCCCAGCGGGGAGGCCCTCGCTCACACGGCTTCTCTCTGACCTCTTAATTTGAGGAGGTAGGCGATCCAGGTCCCCTTCGGTCCCCAGATAATGCTTAGGAGCATTATTTGTCGTGTTCAGCCATCACAGTTGGTTGGAGGCGTTAATTTTCTCAGCATAGTTGCAGGGCAGGCGTGGGTAATGCCACCGACACTAATGCTGGAAATAAAATGTTTTTGGTATTTTTCTTTAGGTTTCAGAGGCTCCAAGTACCGATACAGCCCCACAGGAACTACTTCCGTGGGTCCCTGGAGGATCAGCTTTCATCAGGATTACTGTAACATCGTCACCGTGCCTTCACCCAGTCTACCTTGGGTCCTGATTTCCACCAATGAAGTTTTTTGGTGCTTTCTTTAATCATGTGACACCACCTTCTGCCCACCTTTCTCCTTTCCAGTAGCCAGATCCATTAGGTATAAGTTTGTGTTGCGTTCAAGTACAGAGCTTCCTGCCTGTGCACTTTCGCCTCCTTTGCACCTCACTTTTGTGCACCTCGCCTTAACTTGCTTATTACGATCTTCCTAAGCACTTTCCTGTGCAGCCTTCACTAGTCCGCCTGGAAGAGACGGCATTCCTCACAGTTCACTTCCTGACAAAAACAACATAAGGAATTTTCTCATACTTTTCCTGTATGTCGAGTTAGCAAGTCTTTTCTTGACTTAAACCCTCTGTTTTCCTGCACATGTCCCAAAGTACTCAACCCGAATCCTCCTGGAAGAAATTGAGTGTGCAGTAGGGCAGTTTAGAGATCGTAGCAGTGTAGTATTGGTTCAGTTTCTAGCCTTTAATAAGATTGCAAGTTTTAAAAACACTGTATATGAGGAGGAAGAAAGATAGGGCTAATTGATGCTATTCTTTATTGTAGGAAGTATGTAAGTTTTAAAATCCAAGTGAAGAGACTCTTTTAGACTGTCTGTAAATTAGCCATCACACTAAGTCCTAGGGCACGGAGGAGTGATCTTAAATTCCATTTTCTAGTCTCTCTATTTGAATCTTAAGTTGTTAATGATCTTATTCTAGTAATCACCTGAAATATTAGACACTTAAAATGTTGGGGAAACGTAAGCGTGTGGTATTGACAATTAAAGACAAACTTGACATTATTAAGAAACTTGAGGAAGGCATCTCTTTCAAAAAACTTTCTGTGGTGTATGGAATTGGTGAGTCCACAGTTCGTGATATTAAAAAGAACAAAGAAAAGATTATAAACTATGCAAACAGCTCAGATCCCACGAGTGGTGTATCCAAACGTAAATCTATGAAGTCGTCAACCTATGAGGAACTTGATAGAGTGATGATAGAGTGGTTTAACCAACAGAAGACAGATGGGGTTCCAGTGTCTGGAACTATTTGTGCAAAACAAGCGAAGTTCTTCTTTGATGCTTTGGGGATGGAAGGTGATTTTAATGCATCATCTGGCTGGCTAACTCGATTCAAACAGCGCCATGGTATCCCAAAGGCTGCTGGTAAAGGAACAAAATTAAAAGGAGATGAAACTGCTGCCAGTGAATTTTGTGGTAACTTTCAGGAATTTGTAGAGCGAGAGAATCTACAACCAGAGCAAATTTATGGTGCTGATCAAACGGGGTTGTTCTGGAAATGTCTACCATCAAGGACATTAGTTCTTGACAGTGAGCGAAATACTTCTGAGTATAGGTCAAGCAGAGAAAGAATCATTATAATGTGTTGTGCAAATGCCACAGGTTTACACAAACTTAATCTTTGTGTTGTGGGGAAAGCAAAAAAACCCCGTGCATTCAAAGGAACTGATCTTTCAAACCTTCCTGTCACTTATTTCAGTCAAAAAGGTGCATGGATAGAGCAGTCTGTTTTCAGACAATGGTTTGATAAGTATTTTGTACCACAGGTACAGAAGCATTTGCGATCCAAAGGTCTTCTAGAAAAAGCAGTGCTTCTTTTAGATTTCCCCCCAGCACATCTAAATGAAGAGCTGTTAAGTTCAGATGATGGCAGAATAATTGTGAAATATTTGCCAGCAAACGTCACAAGTCTGATTCAACCCATGAGCCAGGGAGTTTTAGCTGCAGTAAAAAGATACTACCGAGCAGGACTTCTCCAGAAATACATGGATGAAGGAATTGACCCAAAAATATTTTGGAAGAACTTGACAGTGTTGGATGCAATTTATGAGGTATCTAGGGCTTGGAACATGATAAAAGCAAGTACCATAACCAAAGCATGGAGAAAACTTTTCCCTGGCAATGAAGAAAATTCAGTCATGAACATTGATGAAAGAGCCATTTTAGCAGCTAACTTAGCAACAGTTTTACAGAATACAGAACACTGTGAACACGTTGACCTTGAGGATATTGATCAGTGGTTTGACTCTCAGAGTAATGACTCGAGCTGTCAGGTGCTGACAGACAGTGAGGGTGCTGAGGACCATCCCAAGGCTGCTGAGCAGAAGCCTTTCAGTAAGACTAGAAAAGCAGAACTGAATCCTGAGAAGCATATTAGCCATAAAGCTGCACTTGAATGGACTGAAAATTTACTGAGTTACCTAGAACAACAAGATGACATGCTTCTGTCTGATAAATTGGTATTACGGAGGCTTCGGACCATAATAAGAAGAAAACAAAAGATCCAAAATAACAAAAATCATTCATAGTGCTCTGAAGTGTTGCAGTGTGTTTTCATCCTTGTGACTTCATCTGCAGTGGAACTTACCTTGTTTGAAGTGCTGTGGATTCTAAGGCCAAATACATTTTATAAACGATTTTAGGATTAGATGCCATTTGGATTACCTAAATCACAGCTCTTTAATGTTGACTGTGGTAACTGAGCATTAATATAGAACTTGTCTGCCTACTGTTTTTAATCTGTATTATACTAACTAGATTATAAGGTACCTCAGGCCAGGGACCTCTGTCTGTTTTGTGCCTGAGTTTCAGTGTGTCTGATAAAAGTCCATGCACATTATAGGCACTCAATAAATTTTATTAAATTGAATTTTTATGACTTTCTCTGAATTTTAGTTTCCAAATTGAAATATGTTAGTGATAAAGTTGCATTTTGATGCTGAAACTCTTAGTAGAGCTCAGCAAAGGTTGGCTTGTGGATTAATTATCTGTAGCTGCAGAGAACTGAAGGACAGTACCCTAAAGCCTTAAATGTGGCATAGAAATGCCATATACCAGTACTATTTGGGAAGCTAGCAGTTTAGATTGGCCATCTCAGAGAGAAGTCCGAAAAGAGAGAGACAGAGAGAGAGAGCAGATTAAATGCCCCCAGGGAAAGGGTTTACCTTTCACTTTCATTCCGTCTCACAGTAGGGAAACTTCCCTCACAGTTGTGGAATAGAGCTCTGGAAAAATATATCTGCTTTCCCAAATGATTGCAGTTAGAAGAGATGATTAAATTTTATTATCTGTCATTTTGATTCTTTACAGATTTGTCAGTAGTTTTTATCTTTAATAAGCTATTTGACATTTATGTGTCACATCAAAGCTTACAAAGTATGTTATTGCTTTCATATAGTGTATTGTGTGTAATGCTGAGAATATAAGCATATACATAATTTGTGGAACCAGCACATGGTCAGTAGACTAACGTCTAGAAGAAAAAAGAGGCGCTGTAGAACACCACGGGTGGCTGTGTGACCATGGGCAAGTTACCTAAGCTGCCATCTGTAAAATAGGAAGGATGCCCAGCTGCCTCTGAGAGGGTTCGTGAGTTAATATATGGATTTTAAATAATAAGGGCTTAGAACAGAGTAACACTCCTTGAGTATTAATTACTGTTACTGCATTGGGGAAATTATATTTTAGAAGTTAGTGAAGCGGATCTTGTGTGTCACTCTCAAAGGTATGTTATTGCATTAGGAAACCCCTTGCACAAAAAGTGAGAGATGTAAGTAATTAGTTTTGCTGAAGTACAATAGTAATTTATTTAAGTGAAAACTAAAGGGTTAAATCCAACTTAGAAATTGTTTATTGACCACCCAGTAGTAGGCAGAGTGAGGTATGCAGGCATGATTAAGATAGTGTAGGCTAATTATAGTAGGAAATAGGAATGGAATTATAATTTCTTTGCTCCAGGCTATAGAACATTGCTAATAAAATAAATAGGTGCTGGCTTTATTCATAGGGGAAAAGCTATGTCAATATTGGTGTAATTTACTGGAGCAGTAAAATACCTGCAAAGTAGGTAAGATAGCAGGAAGCAGGGCACTTGGGATATTTTAACAAACTAAAGTAACACAGAATCTGTAGAAAATCAGAGCAGAAGAGAGGTTACAGGAGACCATGGGTATTATAATGCTGTCCAGCCCTTGGTAGCAATATTGTGATTTGGTTTGAGGGATTTTGAAGCCCGTGGCTGGAAAGTTTTTCTCTCATGAGCCATTAATTCAGAATTCTGCATTTTGAGCTGCAGCTTTAGGTTGACTAGAATGACTCTTGCAGAAGATCTCTAGGAATCCATTTCTTTAGGGACAATTTCCTATATCATTAACACATTTTAGTCTGCACAGTTTCCTCTTCCTCATAGGCTTGAGGAAATGGGATTCTGCACAGATAAGCCCTGAGGCTAACTGCCTTTCTGGAAACAAGGGAGGCTAAAACTCGATAATGGGAACAAGCTACTTTTGACCACTGCTTCACATTGTTTGCTAGTAAAATTTTTTCAAACATAGTCATAACTTTGAAACTCTTTGATCTATGTTTCATCATAAGTGGTCATCTAAACTACATTCTAACTTCATAACTTGTAATACAAAAATCTTTACTCCTTTCAGATAATGTAATAAGATTAGGAGATGCATGATGGTTACCTAGGTTAATCACATGCCCCTTGTATGTACTTTGGAAAGAACAGATGTATGTGTGCTCAATTTTGGATACTTTAGAAGAAAAACATCCATAAATTTGTTACTGTTTATAAAAGTACATATTTTTAGAAAACTTGAAAGACAAAATTCAGCTCAAGTGGGAATGGTTGGCAACCAAGAACATTATACTCTTTTTAAAAAACAATAATGCCAATATTTACCATTTCATAGTTCAATCTCAGATTAAAGCAGTGGCTGATTGGAAAATTTCAGGTGCTCAATAAATAAAATAGAGTTGGCAGAGCCCAAATCAGTAGCCCCAGTCAATTCAAGCGTACTTATAGTATTATAATTGCTGTTGTTCTGAGATTCTTTTTGTTTTCAGTGTATTTCGGACTAAGCTATACAGGTACTTCACCATGAGTTTCCTGGGTTTAGGGCAAATCTTGTTGGACTAAGGACACAGCTCACAGGAAGCAGAAGACAGAGCTATTCAAGTCACAGTACGGGGTCACCCTGCCTCTGCACTGTGGCTGGGTCACAGCCTGAGTGCTAGAAACCAAAGTGAGGACTGCACTCTGCCTTTATCCCTGTTCAAGAGGGCTGTGTTCATTTATTGCCTTAATATTGGCACAAAGTTGGTTATTTCTTAAACATATACTTTACATCTTAAGCAGTAATAGCTTCAAAATTGCAGGTCTCATGTAAATTGTGTTTTTCTGTTAAAGTGAATATACATTTTTTTAACAAAACTTGCTGAACATCTTGCATCCCTCATTTGCACATATTTAAAACTAGTACCCAAGCGGAAGTAAAGTTGAAGTCCAGTAGATCTGGGTGCCAACAGCAGCTTCTCTATTCCCCTAGATAACCTTGGCAGCTTTCTGGATCTCCGTGAATTTCAGTTTCTTTATACAAAGGTTAAACAGGCACACCCCCGACATTCATAAACACCAGCTGTTAAGCCCTTAGCAATTGAGAACCGTGGGTCTTCACGCTTAGTGACTGTGTAGACCTCCAGGTTGTCAGAGCTCCCCTGTTGATGTCCAAGGCATGCACCCATCCCTGTTAATGCTGGCTTGGGTATGTTTGTAGGTGGGAGGGCAACACTGAGTTCCCTGGCCCTCTAGGTTTGCAGTGTCTCCTCTTAACCACACAGTAGCCCAAAGGTAAAAACAAAACAAGTACATTGCTCTTACTATAGTCTGGGATAATGGATTAAAGTGTATTCTTCTAAGCAGTAGAGGCAGATATCTGAGATGATAGCTCCCATGTTGCAAGCAAAAATGAAAATTTTTGCAAAACCAATCCTGTGAAATATAGTACCTGTTTCAATACTTCCTTCCTGTGCAAATGCAAGGGGGAAATGAAGGAGCAGGTTTGGACCGAAGCATGAAGTAACGCCAGCAGCCCTGAGCACCATGAACCTGTTTTGTTCAGCATCATCTGGTTTATATCTGTTAACCCAGAGTCAGTTTTAGAGTAGCCCTCCAATACTCTCAGGTTCCTCGGGTTTCCCTATCAATTAATTTACTAAAAACGAAGAAGGGATGTGAACTGCAAAAGATCAGATTTGCTTGGGGCCAAAAAAGGGAACAGATGTTGAGGCAATATGGCCTACTGTCCAAGGGCATGGGCTCCCTCTGTGTGCACCTCTGAGGACAGGGCTGTAATCCCAATCCCACTTCATCTCGTGGCCTAGCACAGTATTATGTACCTGTCCCCCTCATTAAAAATGTCTCTTCTGAGGGACAAGGAGTGAGCCCAGTTCATGTGCTGAATGCTGTGTGCCAGGCACAATCTGGCTGTTCTGCATATGATCTATTTTGTGATCCTCAAAACCAATCCTGTCAAATATAATACTTACCTGTTTCATTGGGATCCCTCAAAGGGAGCTGGCACAAACCCTACCAAACATTCCCAGCTATGATGAAGATAGAAGTCTCAGCCCTTGGTAGAGACTATGATCCTGCGTCATTCATGCAGGTGCAGAAATCTGAGGCCTGCAGTTAAGGCCTTTCTGAAAACTACTTTTAGTAGCCAGTAACATACTGGGTGTGTCTAATGCCAGTGTTTCCACCAGTGTTATTATCCAGGCAACCAAGTGTCACTGTAAATCCATGAGACTCAAAAAAGCTGCATGCACCCAACCCTGTCTTCATAAGGGGTGTCTTTCTAATTCCATTCTGATAAAAAGAAAATCAGTTCTTGTTTGGAGTGTGGATCTAATCCTGTCTCTACCTGTCACCAGGTTCACCAACAATCCTTTCTGCATAGAAATCCACTTGTTAGGTGTTGGGTGTTCTGGGGCCCATCCTTGTACCGGGCTCCTTGTTGTTCCTCTTCATCCTGGCCACACTGCACCTAGCTCACAGCTGAATGTCGAGAATACACTTGATTGGTATAATTTGGAAAGCTAGAAATAAGATGTTTTATAATGAAATGTGTACAGTTTACAATATTCCATTTTTTGGATCAACCTAAAGATTGATATGAACATACCGAGTGAAGCTCCTTTATGGACATTTTGGTGTGATTTATTAATATCCCTGATATTCTAAACATATACCTTTGGGAATTTTTATTTCCACAGTAATTCTGTAATGAGATTATTTGGCTATTATCACTGTAGCTAATTTAAATCACTGCAGGATATGCTATTTAAGAGTTGTTACACTGATACTTTAAAAATCATGGTATTTTAGACTATCCAAATTTTTATTTTTATGTTTTTAAGGTTCCAGAGGAAACTGTCTGTGAACTAACCCTTGTTAACCTATGAAATAACCTCTATCCTAAAAAGAATCTTAACAGCAAAATTGTGCCATCTAGTTTTTTCTAAGACCAGCAAAATGAAAAAAAAGCCAAAACAATTATTTCCTACATTTCAGAATATGTTGACCTTTCAGAACTTATTTACAAAGAAAATACACTTACCTAACATTTATAGAAATAGAATTATCTTTAAATCTACACAAAGAGAGTTTAAGACAGTTTTTCCATCTATTGGAGCAACTGGTATTTTTTAAAAGTCAGAATAATATTTTAAAGATATTTTTTCTTAATGAGAAATGGATACACATAAAGTTGATGTATTAATTTAATATTATAACTTAGAATTTTAAAAATTCCTTTCATTAGCTTTAAAATATTAACCAAGTTGAATTCAATAGTTTTGACA